TGGCTGCAGTTGAATTTTCTTTAGTTTAATTTTTGGAAAAAATATACACAAATTGTATTACTTTCTAAATATTTTTCATGTGAAAGAAAGACATTTAACAAATACCAAAAACATGTTCTACAAGTGCCTAACTAAATGAATAAAGAATATTCTTAATCAGAATAAATAAAATAAAGAAAGAATTTCTAATCATTAAACGAAGAAGCACTTTGGGAATTCCTTTGATGATATTCCAAAATTTATACAATGAATAAAACAAAAAATATTTAATGCCATTTTGCTACTCTCGGAAACCCATAACTTGAATTGGTTAAGTGACAGATGAACAGAGGAAAGTCTGTACAGTATGTATTATATTTTGTTTTCTGTTGAGCCAGCAAAATGATCCGAGATGGCGGTCCAAAATCGTGCTGATTGCTCAGTTTGTCTGCCAGCAGCAGCTTATTAAAGTAAGCACCTGCTACAGAGCTACAAACCTCGGCGATATGCCAGAGCTGAATCGTAAAGCCGAGCGGCGTCTCTCATATGAATATTGTCGCCTTAACCGCAGCTTAATGACTCCAGCTAAGTGTGCAATAAAAATGGATATGGGTCATGTGGCATGTGCCAGTGACTACTACCTTTGGGTGGTATCAATTCTTGGCCAGTAGCCAGTAGTTGCCAGTGCACATCATCATCACATGACTCCAAAGCCATGTTCAATGCAAAAAAACAACAAGCGATGCAAATACTGCATGTTTGCATTCCTTCACTCTTTGTGCATTTTGCAATGGCATGTTCTAAGTTTAGGCACGTACTCTAAGGATAGCAGGTCTAGTTTAAGGTTTTTGCCAATATTTATGAGCAACCATCCAAATAGTAGTAATTTAATTACACACAAATTACCAAGTTGGTGGGTATTTCAGAGATTTCCATATAAGCCCAATGTTAGGGAGAAAATTACAGCACTAAATAAGCCGAGCTAACACCTTGGGCAATTGGAAACTTGTGCCGAATGGAGGGAACTTCGACCGGGCATTTCGTGAAAACACGATATCGATGTGGGCTTAGGGTCATTTGCACGTTCTCCCTATTTACATTGATTGGTTAGTAAATCCCTCGACAGCAGCATAACTTTGGCTGCCAATTAGCAAATTCTAAGCCGACTAATCAGCAACTTTGCGGCCTCACCCGACCAAACCCGTCTAAATTTCAGGTTTCCTATGCAAATCAAAGTCAGTACACATTATTAAGTAGGTAATTTGCGAATGAAATGTGTATAAAACGATATTAAATGTTAACAGTCGGGTTTTTGGCGTAATTTTAAACCAACTCAGCTTTAAAATAACATTCAGACAAAACCAAAAAATAGAATTGGAGAGATTCCAGGAACACTAAATCTGGTTGAGCCCTCGGGGAATCCCATAGAAGTAGAGGGTGGACTAAGTTCATATAAGTTCCATAATTTCACAGGTCATTGCACGGATTGTTAGAACCGGCGTCAGGATGATTCAGTCAGTTTTCAAACACACTATTCAGCACTCGTTATGGATCATTCCTTTTGCCCATCCCAAAAAGATTCCACATATATATATATATATATATATATATATACAAAGAGATATATATATAAGTGGAAACAAAGCAAAATATGATAAATACGAACCCAACAGACATGTGAAATTTCAAGTTTGTGGCCCTAAAAAACCAATAAGAATGCCAAAGCAAAGCAGAGAAACGAAAACCGTTTACCTGGCCAATTGGCCATGGGTTTCTCTGGGTTCTGGCCAAACAAAACATTTGTTTCCGAGTCTCACTCAACAGGAATTTAAATATCTCAACTGGACCCCCCATCCCCATTAATTCTAACCCATCATTTTGTTGGCCATCAGGCGAAGGCAACATCAAAGCCAAGCAAACTGGCTTTAATCTAAAAATTGTTAAATGCTAATGCACACTGGGTATTTGGTTTGGTTAAGAAAAGGTTACAATGGCTAATTGCAATTATTATGCTTTTTCAATTTATGAATTGTATTTCGCGGGGTGCGGTGGCAGACGGGGAGGCAACGTCACATCTCACTTTGATTAGCGGATTTCTTACGCAAAAGAATTTCGCTGGACGCTCGACACACGCCCACGCAATCGCTATCGCGACGGGAATCGCTCCGTCAATTGGCATAAATCTTTATTAAACGTGGAAAAGACAAAAAGGCGAAAGGTGAAAATTGTCAACGCCGTAGCACTCACTGCACTGGCACTCGGTATTTTTGTGACTTGGCGCTGTGCCTTGCATAATTTCCAGCTGTACCCCAGGCCACTCATATGGGCCCATGCTCATTCTTATTCCCATTCTCATTCCCGTTCCCATTCACATTTTCATTCCCATTTCCGCCGTGCCCAGCAATTTCTCAATGCACTGGGAGAAGTAGTTGTAGATTTTTATCTAAGAAAATGTTGAATAGATTCTGTCACTGAATGATAGGCCAAAAGAGCTTACATCATATTTTATTTTCTGGGCTTCAGTCATTTTAAAAGTCTTTAAATTACACAGATACTTATTTATGTGTTTTAAAGTTTTTACTTTGAATTCTTCAATATGCTAAGATATAATAATATTTTATCTCCCAATTAAACTTTATCTTTGAGAAAAACAAAAATATTTTTTGAAAATACATTTTTGCCAGAGTGCTCGGTATTTTCCGTAAATTATAGCTTTGATCATGTGCTTCTGGAGCAATCGGCTGTGTTTATCAATTTTTATTGCCTTTTTGGCATTTTTTAATTGATGAAATCAGCAAGTTTGTTAAGACTTAAAAATATGGTAAAATAATTGGACAGATGTCTTATATACTTTTCCATTTTTATCCCAAAAGAAGGATTGTCCTTGAACCTTCAACCATAATCTATTATTTTTAGTGCACTCCCGTCTAGTCACCAAATGGCATCCGTGCACTTTTTGGTCGACCCATCTAACCCGTGGCCACTCACTCGCTTTGTCAAGGTTCGCAAGGTCAATGATTTATTAGTTTATTTGTTCGCCATTGCGTTGCGTTCTGTTGTGATCTCCGGTTCGTTGTCTTGCTTTCTCCGTACTTTTTGTCATTCCGGAGCGCCTATTGTCTGCGGCTGACAGCCAAAGCTCTTGGATCAGAGGCGGCTTTAGCGCCAGTTGAGCCGCTGAATCCGACGACCCCCGCGCAGCACCCGCCAGTCGACAATCATTAAGAGAAGCAGTGACAATTTGAGTTGCATTTCCATTAGTCGGTCTGTGTCAATGGCTTGGCAAATGGACAAGTTAATCGAGGCATGTGTGTTCCGTTCCATTCCGTTTGCCGACCAGCGACCAGCTGAGCCCCGTCGAATCCAGTTCAGTTTTGTATGTGCATGTACATGGATATATGTTTATATAGGCCACGACCTTCAAATGCAACCCCATGGAAACAAATGTCGATCGGTATACGGGGTTTCGGGGTGGAAAGAGTGCAACCCCAGGACTAGGATTTCTGTTGCCAGGAGCGATTTTGAGGGTCCTACTCGTATGCAGCTGCATTTCAGTCTTATAGGGTCTTCTTTTGTTTGTGTAGCCTCAAAAGTTATGCAATCTGCTTTAAGAGCGGCTTTCCTTAGTCTTTTTTAACATTTTCCGAGTATTCAAATGCCAGATTTCTGCTGCCTTAAAGTTTTCCCATATCAGTCTTTTATTGTTTGTCCAGAAAAATATTAAATTTCAAAGAGTTCGCATGTTGTTAAAAGCTGATTATTTTATAGTCAAGTTTGCAATGGGCAATCGTTTTTCATGGCTTGAAAAAAAATTAATTTTTGGAAAAGAAATCAAACTGAATTTTGCAATTGATAGCAATTTTCCATAACTACTTTTTATTGTTGTTTTCAAGAGCTGCAATTTATTGAACGGTTTAAATGAAAAAATGTTGTTTTTTTAGGCCTCCATTTGTGCTGAAAGTTTGTTTACACTTTCAAGAGTACTTTTTATTGTATATCATTTTAAAAAGAACTTGATTTTTTATTTGGAAAACTTTTATAGGCACTTCCAATTAAAACATTTTCCATGTTTTTTCGATTTTTGAGAGAACAACATAACAAATCAATTATTTTTAGGAATCCAATTTTATAGCAATTAAAAACTTTTGTTCTCAAAACTAGTTGATGATAAAGAAGTAATTTAAGAGCAACTTGGAGTCTCAAGGGCTTAATTACAAATTCAACAATAAAAATACACTTTAATAAGCCAAAGAAATACTTGAAGAATGTTATTAAAAAACAATGACTAGCCTCAAGGGATTGATAAAAACAACACTCAACCAATTTCGAAAAAAAAACTACAAATGTCGGCATTTGAAAAGCGTTTTCCAAGTCCCCGAGCTATGCGAAAATATAACCAGATATGCGAATGCTCTCCATCAAATAACAACTGACCGCAATCCAAGCTGGATGATTCTATTACGGCGTCTTCAAGATTGTCGTCATATAATTTGAGAAAGACAGCCCGGGACTGCACCGATGAATTATTACCCTATTTAGTGTCACAAATATATGGAGATGAACGAGAGCACTTGCCAAAGATAGACGAGACCGGACCCGGAAAACTGGTAATGGCTTTCAAGTTCAAGTGCATGGCAATCACAACTAAGAGATACTCGAAAAAAAAAACTGGGTTTAAGTGCGTTTCTCGGGCTGGAAAACTTGGAAAAGCAGTTTGATAAAACAGCTGACCAGAGCATGAATCACTTTCTGAGATATTTTTGTACAGAAATGATAAAGAGTAGAGCAATCGGAAGTGAGGGAGAGATTTTCTAGGAATTCTTTTTAAAAGCTTTCATAATTAAATTGACTGCGGGCGGAGAGGTATGTTTTTTTTATTAAATTACTGCAGGGCGCATAGACAAAAGAAGCGAAGTTCGCACACAAAGAGATAAACAAAGCCAACACAGCTGGCCCACCAAAATATAACCACAGTGTACAGAATTTTTTATAAAATTCATTTGTCTGCTTTGCAAACTCACCGAAAGGCAACAAATGAATATCCAACTGGCAGGTAATTAATATTTCTTTTTTAATTCTGACTGCCAAATTTCCAATAATTAATGCACTTTTCACTGAAACACGCACTAGTACGTACTCTTTTGGTAAATATTTACCCGCGCCAGCGAAATTCGAATTCGAAAACCAAGATCGCTTTACGAATGGGCATACAAATAATTACTGTATTATCAGTGCTGTTCCATGAGCTCTAAGTACTTGAGATTCGGGTGAATTCCAAAACGAACTGTTAGAGACGCACTTAAAATTCCCCAAAAGTACTTTTGCACCGTCAAAACAAATTGGTTTGTACAGAAGGGCACTTCATTGGCTTTCACACACAGTGGCAATTGCCATTGGCATTTGCATTTACATTGAGGTTCCGCTTTCTCGCACTGCAAAACGCTATTTTCTTTTAGAGATAATTAATTGTGTTCCAGTAGGATGAGCAGGCTAGGATGGGCTTCCTAGGTGGGGCAAATAATACATATGGCTTTGTATCTGGGAGATACTTTTAAGCATTTGTATCTTGCACACTTTCGAGCACTTGCCTAGAGGGGCCTGTTTCGAAAATAAATATCCAGCACCGAAAATAAACGAGTGTGTTTACTTCGCCGATCGAGATGGATGTTTTGTTGGGTTCAAAACGTGGCAGCTGATCCGATTCCCGGTTCCGAAGAGGAGCTATATAGCTAATAGCTATAGCTATCCAAACGCACGTGCAGAGAGTCGACGACTGACTGAGGCAAACTCGGCCCGCGATCGCCACAAAATATCAAAAGCCGCGGCGGCGAATTCGGTTCGTTCGTTCGAATGCGGCGAACAAACAAATGCTGAGGCACCAAACGAACAGCATAACAAGCTATATAGTATGGGTATATACTATATAGTCTGATCGAAACGAACCCAAGTTGCCCAAACAAAAAAAAATTCCATTTCATACACGCGCAACTGGAGTTGGAGTGAGTCTTGGTCTTGGTTGGTATGGGTATCTGTGGAATATCTCGACTTCCCTTGGTGGTGGCTTTTGCACCCTTACAAATGTTCCATATATCTTATGACATATTAGATCGCTCGGGGAAGTTCAAACATTTGTGCCGTGAAGTGAATTTCAAGATGATTCAGGTAACAGTGACCAGAACTTTTCTAATGAGTCATCTTTGTATGCCTTTTAGATACGCTGTAACCCATGAAAATGTAGTTAATCACCTTGAAAAAGTGTATTATTGAAGATAAAAATCAACACTATTTTAGCTATATAGACAGACTTCTTAATATTAATTAGCAAAGAGGAGATTAATGTTGTTGATATATATTATTATACTAATAAAATATCAAATTATTTTATGTTAAACTTAAATTTAACTTGAAAAATATCCAATAAATCACCTTTAAAACTTAATCTGGAAAAGAGAACAACAGCTTACTCAAAGGAAGTCACAAAGAAATAATTTTTTAAACTTGACAGTTGTTTTTTCATCACGACTAATAACAAATATTTACCAGCTGGTTGTCAAATACAAGAGTCGGATACCGCACTATTACTCTTTAACACACCTCTGGTTGGCTGGGCAAATATTTTGCCAAGGAGCTGGATGACAATTGGGGATTCCCAAGAGGAGGGTAGCAATCAAAACCGGTTTCTTTGTCAAGTGCATGCCATGCAAATATTTGGACGTGATGATCACCAACTGAGGCCAATACGTTTTTATTAACAGTGGCAAGCGCAGTCATATCGAGGGCGTCCAATAAATAGGTGCTCGCTATCTAGTATTTCGAATGTTTTTATCAAAGATAAGCGGGAACCTCCGGATACCGGCGTTCGTACTATATACAAATGCCTTGTGAATTTGGCCTACAACCCTCCAAGTGGGCAAATGTAACTCTGTTAGACCTTGGCACCTTATCAAACAAAAACATTGCCCCACTTTATTGATTTTGTTGTGTAAAGGAAAAACCTTTTTTTTAACAATAAACTTTGAATAAAGTTTACGAACAGTTGGAGTCTATTTTTAAAAGATTTTTCATTTCCACATTAACATTATTGTTTAATAAATCATTCTAAAGTTCATAAAACCGCAATCCGAAAAATTAATTTTCAAGAAATCAATGATAAGCATGCAATTAGCTTTGAGATTATAGAATTTATGCAATTCGTTCTATATCAGTTTGATTTTTGAAGTGGCAATCAAGTTTGTACAGCCTATTAATAGGCCATTCGATCGAAATTTAATTTCAGTTGACTTAACAGATTAGCGCTGGTTAAATTTATGAGGTCTTTGCAAATATTTACCGACAGCGTTAACCCCAGCAGTTATCAAATAATTAGCGTCCATTTAATAGCAATTATCACATAAACATTCATAGACTCACGCCTCGCGGTGTTAGGTTCGTTCTTCAAAAAAAAAAACGATGACTGTAAATCATGCGAAAGTTGAATTATGTGCCCTAATGTTGCGCATACGCCATGTGTCAAAAGAAAGCCCCGTGACAGGCCATTTGCCAAGTGTGGGTGTGTGCGCCTCTGAAACACTGGCCAAGGCATATATAGGAAAGTAACAAATAACCAACATGCACGAGTACTTAGATCAAATGATTTAATTAGCACTGGCCCCTCAATTGTGTTCGTTTTAATTACATATATTTTATCAGCCGTCAAAGCTTACGGTCTCAGCGATAGTCGCAAAGGAGGAGGCAAGTTTGTCGTGGCCCATGTGTCAATAAGTCAAATGATGTTAATTAATTGAGGTCGATAGTGAAATTCTCTGCAACCGACAGCCTGCCAGGGCCAGTTTACGTTTTGCTTGTCGTAATTAGTCCCAACGCACTGTTACGTAACAAATGGGAACTTACAAACGATAGTACAGCCGCAAAAACTAATTATTCGCCCCAGATATCCATGACCATACTCGCCAAAGTGCAACTTAATAATGACAAACGACCTGTCTATTAGATCTGGAATTCCCAGTAATACCCAATGGTTTGAGGTCGAACTATCAGTTAAACAAACAGTGAAACCTTTAAAAATAATGATATAACTTAACTTAAACTTCACTTAACGAGCTTCTTCAATATTCTTTTTACAATGTCAATATCAATCAACTCCTCTCATTCTCTTATTCCAAGGTATCACTTTAAACAGTCAGCAAGTTTACCCAAATCAGCTTGTGCTAAAAATAGAGTATTGTCACATTAGAAAGACTTTGGATTCCAAAATTAAATGGCTTTATCGCAGTTTCACCACTCTGAAGAGCTACTAGAACTATCAACAATTACTGGTCAGATAATCAAAACAATTTGGCTTTATGCACCGACGTCGAGTGGTTGAAGTGGTGCTGAGCTATCCGATAAGCAATGCTCCCAGGACGAACCATCTTTTGCTCCAATGCATCGCCATACAGTTTCACCAGTGAAGACTCCGTTTCCACGGGTTCAAAATAGGCAGACAAGCCGCCCATCAGCTATAGAAATAAATTAAAGCATTAGCTTCATCTTCTTTTGAAATTATATCATTTTTGAACTCACCAAATTCTCATCGCAGTTTATAAATCGAACAGCCTGCACATGCTCCGACCACAGACGCCTTCGCCACTTGTTATCATACTTTTGGGCCAATGGCACAAGTACTAGTGAACTGAACAGCTCATCCCCATAGCTAGCCGCTTCAAAGTGTTCGACAAAGAGATAGTAGAGTGGCTCGAATCTAGCCTTATCCACCAGCTCTGCATCAAAGTCAAAGTCATGGTTGGCATTTTGCTTATAGAAATCCGTCAGGCAATCATGCAGCAGCTCATGCAAATCCGGTGCCAGAAACTGTGAGTCGGGACCCATGAACGCAATCATCAAATACATAAGCTTCTCCAGCGGGCTAACAATCTGCAGGCCCTCTCGTTCCAATTGCCGCACGAAAGTCAGCGTCATACGAACCACCTGGTTTTCTTTTCACAGAAAAAAATATATGTATATATTTTATCCCCAAGAAAAGCAAACGTGGAAGTGAGCTAACTCACCAGAGTATATTGCCGCCGGTTGCTGCTGCACATTTTGCAAGTAATTGCTAAGGATAAGCCGCAGTTGGAAAAAAGGCCAGTCGGCGGGAAGGATGGGTGCTTGGGTATAGCTCAAGGATAGTGACGGCTCCGAATTGTCCTAAATAAAAATTTAAATTTAATCAATAATGGGTTTCTAATATTTAAAATACTTACAGCTATTATGTGTGGGTAGACCATTTCCATGCAGGACTGTTGCAGCAGTTTAAGGCTTGCCTCGTCCAATTTAACAAACTCTTCATTAAAGATGAAGCGCTCGAAGATACTTTTAATCTGTGTGGCATGGGCAGTGGACAGACAACAAAGGTAGTTATAGACCAACTGCAGTAACTGCTGGCGCTCCAAGTAGGTCTCCATTCCGTCCGTGGTCAGCAATTGGTGTATAAATCTTAGCTCACTGCGGGCAAAAAAGTTTGTGGCCAGGACACGATTCAGTTTAGAGCTTAACTGGCGCAGATACTCTGACAAAGGTTCCAGCACCGGCGGTTGCATAAGTGCGGCGAACAATGCCTTCTCGCTGCTTTCCAACGAAATGGAGAGGAGGGCCCAGAGGTTACTTAACAGGTGCACCGGATACGTCTCACTGACAATCAGCTGCGGCCCGTAGTCGTGCATCAGCACTGAGCCCACATTAGGCAACGGCGCGTGCACGTGGCGCCGATCAAGAGGGCGTCTCATCATTATGGATCCCTTCCTGGAAAATAGCAATTAAAAGTATGATTTAACAGGTATCTTTAATGCTTAACTTACGTTATGTCGTGAACGGCGGCTATAAACGCGCTGGATTGTACAAATTTCGGCAGGATACTGCGCAGGAAGGGCTGGAAACTGCTGGTTCCTAAGTAGCTATTACGAGAAAACCAACCTACGGCATATAGGACAGCACTCAGAAGGGTGATCTGGCTAAACTGGGATTATGATAGTATTTGAAAAAGTGGCCAAAACGATTCATTAATCAATTCACTTTATTTATATATTTATATAAAGACAACTTACATCTTTGATTTTCTCCATGCGGGATGCTGAATGCACCCAGCCGCAGCAGCAGTTGTTAAGCGGCTCTACGAGCAACTTCTGTGCATCAATGTCGCATGCTCCGCTCTCGCCACTGGCCACTAGTGCCACCAACAGGGCGGCTGCGTGTTGGCGCACCAGCCCCGATCCGCCTACTCCATCGAAAGCACAGTGATTTCCATGCCAGTCCAGCAGCTGTCGAAGTGCGGGCAGGAACTGCCTGTAAATTATCCCCAATAACAGTTATTATCAGCAGTCGCTACTTGGTTGGGCTATAAAAATGAGCTGCTGCCTAAACAAAGCTCAGTTTTATTTAAGCAATTTTAAGGACGGATTATAAATCTTTTGGATAATGGCGACTTGGCAGTTTGGACTTCTACTAGCATTATTCATAGTAAATAATTTAATTCCTGAAAATCAAGGAGTAAGTACTCGCAAAGCAGTTTTCAACTTTAATTAAATTTTGTTTTTGATAGATAGAAATTAATCCTATGATCATAAAACAAGTGAAAAAACTGCGATTGCGATGCTTAAACCAAACAGGAGCTTCCTTAGGTAAGTGCATTTTTTTTTTGAAACCTCAGACAAAACTAACTCATCTCTCCGAAACAAAAGAAATTATGGAACAGTCGATAAAGAAAAGAGTATTACCCGCTGATCCAAATGTCAACTGTTTTCTACACTGCATGTTTGATATGTTCGGATTGGTTTGTAGCTTCTGGATTTCTCTAAAGTGATTTTATATTAAATATTATTTGTCCTATAGATTGACTCCCAGAACGTTATGCATTTGGAGGCACTTCTAGAAGTTGTGCCAGAAGAAATACACAATACCATTAATGGATTAGTCAGCTCATGTGGAACTAAGAGTATGTAAAGAGTTTTGGTAAATTGAGAAAGGATTAAATAATTTGTAACCCCTTTAGAAGGAAAAGATGGCTGTGAAACCGCCTATGAAACTGTCAAGTGCTACATCGATGTAAATGGTCGGTTTATATGGGAGGAGATTATAGTGCTACTTGGATAGAGTTTACCCACCTGAATACATCCCGATCCACGATCCCCAAAAGCAGGAGGCAGCGCAGGATGCGTAAAGACTCGATCTGAACGCGCACCATGTGAACCTGCCAAGAATATTTCCATAAATAAAAAAAAAACTTTCATTAACAAATGCGTATACAAACCTTATTATCTTCAAGGAACAAGTACTGTTTCAGCCGCACAATAAGAACTTCTTTAGAAAGATTCTTGGCTATTTCCAGATGTTGGCAAATCATCACCCGAACTAGTTTTAGAAAAAGAATTTGCGGCTGGCCATAAAACTGATTGTTCCCATTGGAAGAGGAAGGTAGAAAATGGCTGAAAAGCACATCAAAAAGTTGACTTTCATTTGCTAATTGCCGAGCCACTTTGACACTTGTTCGAGCGATCCTTATAAGTAATTTCATACAGGACTCCACTGTGCTATTATCCGGTTTCACAGACTCAAAGATATAACTGAAAATGCATAATTATTAGGGAAAACTATAGTTAATATGTTTATTACTTACCGGATCCTTTGCAATATATTTGTTCTAATCAGGCAATCTATAAGATCGGTTTCAGCTAGTTGAAAGTCATCCATAGACATTCGACTCTCCGAAAAATCTTCATCCACCTCTGCTCGAACTGATTTACTGGAGGTCAATAGCTTCATGTAACTTTGCAAAAAAGCTATAGAATTGGTATCAGTATTTCCCTCTTTATCATCGCTGCCGTTTCCCAAAACTTGCAGCGTGGGCTGCCAATGGCAGTAGGCATTATCGTGAATGTGATCAAGAAGCACTTCATCCGCTTCGTTATAAAATAGGTTGGCCAAAGCTCGGCTTACTACCTCCAGTTGAGCGGTGGCATTGTCATCGAGTCCGAAACGTAGTAGAAAGAATATTTTTGATATTGGTAGTGACAATACTTGGTCATAGAAACCCTGGTTATAAATGCTGAAGATCCCAGCTATGGCCCCAAAGGCAGATATTCTTTGCTGTAAAACAGTGGATCTGGAAAAGTAAATCAAAATAAATACCCATTATTATATAAAACATCCAACGCTAACCTTGCCAATCGAAACAGCTCCTGAAGTGCATAACCTGGTCGATCTGCTTCCTCGCCATGTAAATAGAGCTCTCGTTCGTCTAAATGGCTTGAAGATTCCTGCTCCTTGAGCGAGTGAGGTAAGAGTACTCCTTTCCAGTCAAAGCGAGCATTGAACTGCTCTCCGGGCTTCAATTCGCTTATCTTAGCAGGAATATCACGCATCCACGCCAATTTGTGTTCTTCCACGAGATTAAAATTAACCCAATTTCCTTTGTCGCTCTGTTGCAAAAGTTCAATGGCTGGATTTGAGTCGGGTAGAAATGAAATATGGGGATCTTCAACTTTAGATGCCAGCGCGGGCATCGGTGGCTGTGGTGGAGGCTCAATTAATTTAGGAGATCCCTTTTTTTGTATAGAGTTTTGGCTGGCTTGGCGTTTTTTGGACAGCAAAGCAATCAATGAAGGATCTGCAGAGCGTTATAGTATAATTATAAGAAAAAACTTTCTACAACAACTTGTTTACCTAAAGAAGCCAGCAACTTTTCTTTCTCCGCCAAAATGTCCTGTTCGCTCATTTGGTTAAGAACATTTAGATTTTCCTGATGCAGTTCCTGTCCCAGTTTGGCGTCTTTTATTATAGAACTTCTTTCAATTCTTGCTGAATCAGATTGGTTCTTTGGGACTTCTTGATTTGTTGAACTTGCTCCCAAAAGTTTTTTAGCAAAAATGCTAAGGGGTTTGCTGGTTTTAGCCTAAAATAAGAAAGGTTATTATTACTTTATAAAAACGTGTTTTTGATAAACTAATGTAACCTGTTGGGTTTCCTGGAAAGCAGGCCTATTGCTCCCTCCAGTTCTTTCTACAAGTTCACCCAATACATTGCATAGGAATTTAGGGTCCATTTTACTGCCTTTTATATCGCCTAGAATGTTTTCCTGGATTTCATCAAGGAGAACTTGGTTGACATGCGTTACACTTTCTTTCAAGACACTTGTTGGAATAGTTTGGGTTTCTTTGGCTGCCGGTATAATCTGCTCCTGTTTTTTAACTGCTGCAGAGGTTACACGTCCCAATTTGGCCTGCTCGCGTTTCTGGGCAAACACGGACTTTTTTGGAGCTATCAATTATAATAAGTAAAGAATACTTTATCATTTCTTACAAATCAAAAATATGAACCCACCTCTATCCATACGCACAAAAGCCGCAGCAGGCTGGAAACTAGGATTTTTCTTTTTCTCCGCATTAAACTCAGCTGCCATCCGTAGGACATCTTCTTCACTTTCACCTGGCTTAAGTTTTTTAAACATTTTTGCCAGACAAACAAAATAAAATATTTCAAAACAAATGCTGTCGGCGAAAGTGTGACCGTAACTTATACGTTGAAATATACCATAAACATTACCTTTTCTTAACATCAACTGTAATAGAACAGAGCGCTTACAGAGCTAGTTGTTTTTAGTACACATGGAATTTGAAATTTGGCAGTTAAATTCGCAATTGGACTAAAAAGTGAAAAACTAAAGGAAATTTTAAAAATTTCTCCTCACGGATAACATTTAGCTAAAATGAAAAAAACAAACAAGTAAGTTTTCACATATTTTATCAAAGATTAAACCATCTCATAATTTAATTCAAATTTATTTTGTATTCAAGTAGAAAAAACAATTTAATAATACATGAAAAAGTGACTAGTTTTTTATTTTCCCTCCTTTTTAAAAGTGGTGCCCGTGTCGGACAAACATTTATGAAGCGATTGCTGTGCCACTATGGTGTCCTTGTGGGGCAGAGCAGCCACCTGGAAGAACATCTCGAGTCCCTCCTTGAAAAGCTCAATAGCCTCACTGGTCTTCTGAGCTTCCATAGCTCGTGCAGCCTCCCGATATAGTTCCTCGATCTTGATCAGCTTGGCTACACTTTCTTTAAGAGAGACGTTCTTGCGACAGCGGGGACAACGAACATCCTTAGCCAAATCCTTGGGGAACTTAAGAAGGTTAACGCAGTTGGCTGAAGTGCACCTTTAATTAAATTGCAATAAAAATGTATATTAAGATATATTTCTCCATTTTAGATGAAATACCTACCAGAATCGAACTTGCTTGTCCAGTTTCTGGAGTAATGGCCAGTTCTCCTGGCAGGCCATGCAATTGCAGTTGAAAGAGTACCGTCCTCGCAGTGATCTTTGCCTTTCCTTTAAGTTATTTTTGATGAAAATTGGTCCGTAATTTACAGCCACAATCTCGTTGGGACGATGTGGCTTAGTGGCCGTAAGAACCAGTTTCTTGCCGACAAAATGGCAAGCAGTGCTAGAGTTAATATAAATGATTTTAATAATGAATATTCATATTCAGAAATGCAGGGTCTAGAGACAATTCTATACTTAACCAACCTGGGCCAGCACTCATGATTAAAATAGGAACCGGTGCCATAAAGGCCAGCGGCCAAATACACCGTCTTGCTACCATCGAATCGATGCTCTTCAGTGACTTGCGTTTGATATATCTGATGGGCATTATATTGGAGCACCTGCAGCAGACCCAGCAAGGCGGTGGCTACCTGTAGTTCTACAGCCGTGGGATTCACCCCCTCTGTCTTCCGGCGACCAAAGTACAGGGACTTCTGTAGAATTCGCATCAGAAAACCAGCCATCAGTGATCGTTGTAAGTAATCCTCCGGCTGACGCTCATCCTCGTGAGAGCACATATGATCAAAAAGCATATTGGCAGTAGCCAAGCCCTGCTCCAGATTTGGTGCCTGTGTAAAAACTCGCAGTGCGATGAAGCATAGGATGGACATTCCGGAACCGATCAGCAAATCCATGAACTCGCACTCAAAACGATGGTAACCGGAGCAGGCTTCACCCATGCACTGAGCAGAGCAGAAGGCGACACCAGAGCAATGAAGACAGGAGACTGGGGTGTGCAGTCTGTAATTTATAGGAATTTTAAACAAGGTTACCTCTAAAGGATGGACCTAATCTCACCTCTTGAAACAATTATGACAGTGGGTGCCAAAATAAATGGGTTCCAGGCAAGCGGCCACTGGTTCCTCGCAGAGCAACGTATCACCAGTTCTTAGACCTTCGTTGGCTACCACAAAACGGCCCTTATCCTTAGTCTCCACCAGCCTCACTACCTTAGAGGCACTACTCAGTTCAGGATTAACGCCATGTGCCAATTGTGGAATCTTCTCTGAAGACGCATCCTTAGGAATCGGTTTCACGGCAGCAATTTCCGTCCTGCATAGGGCAATGTGGGTGGGATCGGAGCCCGACATCTTTTCGGCAATCTTTAATGAGATCTCTGCACGGGCAGGCTCACCCATGACTGTAAGATACAAATTTAAGAAGCTACCCCAAGCTACGTAGTTAATCTGAAGGATACCCACCTGCATAAGCTTTGGCCATCTTGCAGTAGTAATCCACACTAGACTTGAGATCCAGCCCAAAGTTGATAGCCAACTTCAGGTCACTTAGAGCAGCCTCACCCTCGCCTAGGCGGATCAGAATCGAAGCCCTTGACCTATAGGCCAATGCCAAGGAGAGGCCATCATCAATGACTGGATCGGCATTACGGTCTGGGGCCCTCATTATGGCCAGGTTGGCGGCCATTAGAGCCTGCTGCAGAAGCTCCTTGCTCTCCTCGCTCTCGCCATTGCCACTCATCAGAAAGAACTTATCGGCTTGAGCACGTCTTTGGGCGGAAAAAAGGGCATCCTTCTGCTTAAAGACTGGCTGTACATGCTCCAGGACACCGAGCACAGGATCACACACCTCGCGATCACTGAAGATGGACAGAACACGAGCCGCATTGGACTTCAGTTTGCCGAAGTAGTTTCGCAGCCACTTGTCGCCACATGCATCCCGTACATCCCCGCAGAATTCGTTGAAGAATCCCCTCTTCTCCGACTGAACGGTCTGCGCGGAGCAGATCTGATGGTAAGTGGTGTCAAACTCCATTATTGATCTAAATTATATAAAATCTAATTCAGATTTTCGGTGCAACGGATTGGAAAAAATCTTCTTTTCTGATCACCACACTGCCCCGTTGAGTATTGAAAACAGCTGGCGGACGTTCGCCCTCCAAAAATAGCACTGATCGTTCAGTTCAGCCGCATTATAAATATTCGGAATAAATACTGAACTAGTACCAGTCGTCATCGGTGTTCACTTTCGATAAAGTTTCGTTTTAAAGTTTTTTCATTTATTTTCTTGAAACAAATAGAAATATTTACATTTTGTTCTTTGACTTTATAGAGTTTTCATAAACTTTATTCCACTTAAAATGCAAGCGATCAGTTATAATATTCATTTTATTCGTAACTGGAATCGGGCTTATAAATCACATTAAATAATTTATTTAAAAATTAGCTAAACGTACAAAAATATAACAATATGTATATCAGAGTATTTATAGTTATATATTCGTAGTTAAATATTTTAAGTATATATTTTCTTTGCCTGGAAAATATTCAAGTTGAGTTTAAATTTTCATTAATTTATATATATATAGATTTTCTCATGGACTAGATACACTTTGTCAACCATTAGTTTATCAGTTTGGAAAAACCCTTAAAGAAAGTAGAAGAGTATTTAATCAACATTGTCCTTTGACACTCCGATATCAGGGGCCATAAGAATGTTTGGGGATAAACTTAAAATTATCTCTGACTAGGTGTATCAGAACAACCTGTGAAATTAGGAATTAGAATATATGACTAAAAAATTATAAACAATTTTTGTTTTCGATTTCATTTTAATGTTTGTATTTATTTGCTCGAATAATGATTGCGTGGTCTTCAATGATCAAGACTATTTAAATGGGGCAGATGATATAGACTTCATAAAAATGCGGTGCCGTGGTAAAGCATATTCTTGTTTTGGGATAATGAAAAATCATATTTAAAGTCATTATTTTCACTAAGACGTACAAAATTCAATTGGCTAATTAAGAGTAAGGTAAAAATTATACATATACTTTTAAATTCAGAACCGTTACAATGTATATAAAAATAGGATTGAACTTAAGATTGGTCGGTTTTGCGTTCGGGTTCAGATTCACAATGATATACTCGTATAAAATAAATTACATGTTGTGTGTATGTGTATGGGTATTTGTTGTGTTTTTTGTTTTTGTTTTTGTTTTGTTTGTTAGCTTTAGTCACAATTAATCTCGTTGGCTTCAAATTGCAAATATGATCTAAGAGAAAGTGTTACTAAACTTAACAAATAAAATGCTACAAAATTTCAGCCTCGCCGCCGAACTTGTTCAAGACAGCTGCGACAGCTCCGAGAAGCTTACAAGTCGGTATTATAGTAGGTATATATGTATATATGTGTATATTATAAACTATTATCATCACATTGTAAACGTTAAGTGTTTCTCATTATTTTGTTTTAATCCATTAATCTAAGCAAAAACGAGTACATCGTAGTTTTTAATGTCTTTTGTGTTTAAGCTTAAAACGCTGCCTGCCGAATATCCGTCGATTAGATTTCTGATTCCCCTTCACTTTCAGCCTGACTCGCTCACTCTGAATTACGCTAGTTCGCTTTCGAAAGCAGTCGGATGGGACAAACTGAAAAATCCGTGAAACTTTTCGAAGCCGGTTCCGTTTTTGGTATGTTTGGTTTTTTTTTTTGTTTTCCTTTTTTCATTTTTTAGCAGTTTACTGAGGGCGATAGCCCACGTTGTAGTAGTCTACGTATGATTGTAAATAAATTAGCACTTAACAGATAGAGTGGCCTAAACCTACTTGTAGGTCGCAGGATAGCCTAAGAAATGTGTGGGATTAGCTCGCGTCGTCTACGCGTCAAAATGTAACATTTTCTCATTCGCATTTATAAATAAATTAGCCATAGTATCACTTATTTTGTATTTTAAGAAAATAACCAAACTAATTCAACTATAAAAACTTAAAGAGGTTAACCCAGAACATGGAAGAGGCCTGTTTTACACTTAAGGAAAGCAGCACGAGACTGTCTCATTGCAGCAGAGAGCGAGTGGCGAGCGCGCCGACTTAACCTACCGCTACTACTATACAAAATGGAGCACAGCGTCAGCTGGATCACCAGCCGTATACCCGGCCGCAGCCCGATCCGCCCTGCAGAGCGGGGCCGTTGCCAGGTGGCCGGGCCGAGCCGAGTTAACCTGATCGGATCGAGATTGAGACAGACATCTCACGACATCTTAATGCCTAGGGCGCGACTTGTATACTCGTAGACCACATAGCTGATGGACACCGCCGGCAGGACTTTGAGGAAGTTTGGTGTAATGCCACGGTACAGTCCCGTCAGACCTTCCTGCCGCACGATCTTGCGGAACAGGCCCGTCATCGTCTCCTCGCCGCTGTGCGCGTCGCTGCTCTTCAGGGGTATTTGCGTTTTCCGCTTTTGATTGGCAATTGTTTCGGCAGCTGCAAAAGAAAATGAGAGAAAATTATTATAGCAATACGATTAAAAGATAGAAAAAAGAAATCACATTAATGTAGCAATGCTAACCTTGTGCCTGTAGCCGAGTGCGCACCAAGGCCAGCGGGTACGAGCAGAGCTGTCCAAGTGTGCTCGAAGTACTTCCACATGCCAGGAGCACCAGGAAGCTAGGCTGCTCGTTGTTGTCGTGATTGGCAATGTATCGTCTCTTGAGGGTTTCATATACCGCCAAATCAATGCCGGCATAAGGCAGGATTCCCAGGATGTTTGGTACATAGCCGCGGTAAAAGCTGCGCACTCCTTCGTGCTTGTAGATTTTCACAGCTGCATCGGCGATGCCCGCGTATTGACCCGTTTTCCTGAGCGCCAGACGGGTCTTTAATACTTCCATGGGGTAGATGATGGTCTGTGAAATTCCGCCTGCCGCAGCGCCAGCGTAAAAACGCTCCACGATGCTCATCTGCCGACTACCATCGTCTCCGCGGATCAATCGTTTCATCTGCTCGTAGGCAGCGAACTTGAAAGCCGTTTCGGGGGCAATCTTCAACACATTGATGCCATTGCCTCGCCACATGCTCCTCGATCCGCCCTCGTTCAGCATGATGTGCATGCACTCTGAGATTCCCATTCTTTGCGTTTGTACCTGGTTAAGGGAAATAGTTTGTTAATATTTGCGGTTTAAAGTTTGTATTTTGTGGGAAACTCACCTGCAAGTACACTTTAATTCTGTCCAACGGCGCTGTGCATGTACGGGAAACTGCTCCAGCTATGCCACCTGCCACCAAGTGTCGCCACCAGAGGCCCGTCTGCATCTCTTTCTGTGTGAAGTCATCAGGTACATTCATATCCTCGCCAATGTCGAGGTACTGCAAGGATCAAAAGGTTCATGGTTAGAATATTTGCTTACTTCGGGTTTGTAGTTATAAGTCTAATTTTAAACTAATCTATATTGAATGGAATGAAAGCATTCTGAACAAACGTTTAGATTAGATTCAAGCAAAAACGACTGAAAGATTAAAATTCCATTCTCATTGGCGAATAAAATACATAATCATAGCCAATGGTAATTTAGTTTATACGAACTACCACAACTTCTTCAGGACGACGACATGCTTGGATTTCTTCCCCAAAGTCAGCCTTGAGAACCTCTAGCGCCATGATCTAATCAATCAACCACTGACTGGTCTCTCTTAGATATAACCAAATGGTGGCTATTATCCGGTGCTGTAATATTAAATAATAATGCAGGTTGCAAGTGCAGAAGGCAGAATGCAAAATGCAAAAGAGTGATGCGATGGGAGAACTACGCAATCCACACGCGCCACTAAAATCCCCATCGGCTGAGTGAGAATTGCGGAAGCGGGCGAGAAAGAACGATGCAACCAGCCGTAAACAAATGTTATATCATTCACATTAGTTTTGCAGCTCGTGCAGCTATATATCGACTTCGTGCCGCAACTATGTACTTTTATTTTCCCGATTTGTGTTGTCTTTAGACGTGCCCCACCCCGAAAATAATTATAATTGGCTCGCCTTTGTCAGCCAGCAATTGGTTGTGCAATTTGGCAGATCTCTTTTAAAAACTAACGCCGAATGGGCCTCAATGAAATGAAATATTGTTTGTTTCTATGAATTGCACAGCTTTTGGCTTTAAACCGAATTAATGCCGCTGATAGTCGGAAAGCTGTCTGAAATTGATAACAATTATCAAGTCTTGTGATGTCTAAAAGCTTTCGTGCGAGCAAAAACCGAACTGAATTCGATTGATCCCAGTTGGAAGGTTTTAAAAGAAATTGCCAGAAGTTCACAGTTCGAATATAAAAGGTTATTACACTTTCCCCCCGCTATGTTCATCTGACATTGAAAAACTAATTTGGACAATAGACATGCGAATTATAACAGCACTAAAGTGATTTGTTTATCTATTTGACAAAACAAGATATATCCAGTATATCCCGGTAAACACGTCCGCTTTTAATATGCCAAATCATTTTGCGTGTTTATCACATTCACACGATGACACTTTCGGAAGAGACTCTTCGCTATGCTTTACCTTTGATAACGATGGAAAATTAGGGTTAAGTTCACTGAATGGGTTAAGTAAGTGTACTTAATAAATTTAAACCGACTCCCACAGTTTGCACACATAATTAGCAAGTATCAATCACATGGCCTCACCATTCAGCAAAATTCAGTGGGAATTAGTTGGCCAATTAACGAAATGGAATTTTAATCCAACGCAAAACGAGCGATGGAAATTTTACGGAATGTAAATTGGCCCCTGGATGCAACGTCATTCCTGATGGAATTTATCATTTCCGATTTACTATATATACTTTATGTATTAAACAACGAGTCACATGACTGCGAAAAAAGAGCTTTTTTTATACACATTGATCTATTTATAAATTTGCCGTGAATTTGGCGCACAAACGTGGAAATGGCCGTGAAAGGAGCGCAGTCTTGAAGAAGTAAGAAGAAGTAAACAGGTTAATAGACGATTAGCCTGGTTTTTGTTTTTGGAAAACCATGAATGAATCTATGTTTGACAACAAAGAGCCACTTACAAGCGCCATGGACTAATAAAAAATTCAAGGTAACCACCATTCAATGAACGATCAACCAAGATACGAAGGCTATGGCAGCCCGATATCTGAGTTTTTTCAAGGCATG